CTTTAATAATTATTACCACTGCAAAACATATTACATTTGCCATTCAAATAAGTTTTCCTGAGAAGGATAGATTATTTCCTGGGAAACTATATTAAGACCTTATTTAGCAACTTGGTAGCATTGAATTGACTCTTTATGGAAACGTTAGATATTAGAAGAAAAAAAACAATGACAGTTATTTGCGGGGGGTTGTTTGTTTGTTTTAGAGACACTGCTTTACTGCATTAGTAGTCTCATCAGTGCTGTGTAATGAACAACTCAAGTAACTGAAAGTCTGATTAAAATCATAGATAATTCTGGTAACTGACTCAGAGAATGGGTTTTCTAACACACACACACACACAAAAAAAAAAATCAGTTTACTGGTGCTCTCAAACAGAAAAACTCCCAAAACAAACACCAAAAAAAAAAGAGAAATCTTTCCTACCTTCATGCCGCATTAGCTATGATGATCTCCTTCAAGTTGCTAGCCTTGCAGCTGTCTTCTCAAGGTATCTTACTGATAATACTGTTGTGCTCACAGATGAAGCTGTTGTGCCAAATTGGTTGGTCACTGGTTTCTGTTTGTGTTGAGTGACATTGTCACTATTCTCAATTTGAGATACCTTCACTTGCTGAATTTTATAAGCTACATAATGTCACATAGATCAAATTGCGTCCTCTGTTATACAAAAGCAGGACTGTTCCTTCAGTTAACTTATCTTGACAACGCTACAATGCTCTTCCTGTGCATGTACCTTTCGTACTCGTGTTTAATCACTTTTAATAATGGGCTTTAATCTCCCAATGAAACAATTTTTACAATTTSGAGTTTTTGCTACTTTTTTGTTCTTTTTCAGATTATATTCATGGTTGGCAGAGGTTATGCTTCTCCTGACCTCAGTAAACTGTACAAGAACTGCCCCAAAGCAATGAAGAGGCTTGTAGCAGAYTGCTTGAAGAAAGTTAGAGAGGAACGACCTTTATTTCCACAAGTAAGTGTTTTGTCACTAAGGCAGGCTAGGGTAGTTTAAAAGTATTAATAGCCTTTAGCTTGTGAATCATTCTAGATAGAGTCACTTTGGAAAATGAAAGTAGATGCAGGAATATGGTACAACCAGCCCTATTTAAATGACCTATTTAAATACGACCTATTTAAAAAGCAAGGCTTTTTATCCGTTTTATTTTAGCACRGTATTAAGACAAGTAACCATTCCTACTTGTCTTCCCCACAACTTGAAAAAGCAAACAAAATCCACTGGGGAATCTAAATGCATCTTGCACTTTTCAGTACATTTATATGGGATACTTTGCCTTATCTTGCTCATGCAAGTATGAAGGTACTTTCTCATACCTCATACTTGCTAAATACCTAAAATAAAATATCAACAGATTTGGAAAAAAATACCCTATATCTTTTACAATCAAGTTTCTTTGTTTTTCTTTTGATGTTTAAAGGGTTCTCTCTAAATTTTGTTTTCTAAACAGCAAGACTTTGGGGCAGACTGTGAAGTTCTTTACCTTTCATTGTCGGGAGAGCTGTATAGATTCTTTTTATTTGATCATGGTGTAGATTAGAAGTATTTTCCCATCCTCTGAAACTAAATGAGCATCTTCCTGGGAATGACACGACAAACTGTCATTATTCAATCTGCATATTGCTGGAATATTGTTTTAAATGCCTCCAAATAGTATATTGCTTCTTTTAAGAGATGCTTAAAGCCACAAATAAGATTCAAGACTAAAAAGACTTTTCAAGTAGCTGTTTCTAACAAGGCTTTTCTTCACTTTTGTTTTCCCCAGATACTGTCTTCCATTGAATTGTTGCAACATTCTTTACCCAAGATCAACCGCAGTGCTTCTGAACCATCTCTGCATCGTGCAGCCCACACAGAGGACATAAACTCTTGCACACTAACATCGACGAAACTACCTGTTTTTTAGGATCGTGTTCTCCTCCTCTGGTTCTCCCCAGTAATGGGAAAGGAACAGAAATCATGGAAGTTGCTTTCAACGCCTCAGTGTACAGGATCAGTGCCAGCAGGATTATCTGCATCCCGGTTTTAAGAACAAGCTGCTAAGGATTTCTGCAGTTCTTATCCTGCAGGACACAGCTCCACATTGCCTTTTTCTACAATTTCTTTTACTGGGATAGAGTTAACAGACTATAATCAAGAGATCTATTACTATTTTTTTAATAGATGCACTTGAGCCTTATTTTTCCCGTACCCAGAAGAGATGGATGTTTCTGTGGCAGTGTTTCTGGATTGATTTGAATCTGTTGATAAATTGGTATTTTTATAGCAARGATGGCTTGACTCGATATTTGAGGAAAGATAATGCATTATGGTGTTCTTTGATTGTTCCATGCCATATGTCACTCTAAGTTGGGGAAGTTTTACCTGAAATGGGTATCTGCAAACAAGACTGAGGGAAGAAGAAAAACAGACAAACAAACAAGAACTTTCTGGAAATCAGCTCCTGCCTAAGAGCTTTCATCAAGCCAATGAAATAAGTTAAAACGCTAATTCAACACAATAGTTTTGCAATAGTTTTGCACATAGAAGAAAAACTCTTGCAAAGGAATGGAATATATTCTAAACTGTACTGCTCAGAGAAGGAAGCTAGCCAGTCTTGCTATGGTCATCTTCGGTAACTTCAGCAGCTTATTTTGGTACTATTGACTTGTTTCTTACAGCCCAGTGAGGTGTTAAGTGCAGAAAGACGGGCTTTTGTGGCTGGAAAAAAAAGCTAATTAACATTACCAGTATACTTCTGCAAAATGAGCATAGCCTTCATCCCATATGAAGCTGTCGTCAGAGAGATGCACTATCAAGAGGAAACTGAGCATATGCAGTTTTTCTTGCTGATTTGGGTTTTAATTTTGTTTTTATTGCTCCTGAGAAAATGCATTTATTGTAAGCCAAGGTTCCTCTGATTATCTTATTTTAATAAAATAAATTAAATTTTAGGTTTAAGATACAGTGTCGTCATTTGTATAGAACTAGTTTTGAAAAATTCCGAAAAGGATGTTCTGAATATATTTTTAAAAGTTACTAGGTTAAATATTAGCAGTTTCCTTACAAAATCACACTTTTGATGACAACATTAAGTATTTTTCCAATCACTTTGATTACAAGGTGGTTCTTACTGTACTGTCATAATTTTAGAGCAGCATCTGCTCATTTAAGATAAATGAATGAGCTTTCAAGATAAATAACTACCATTTTTGCTCTGCATTTCATCTTACACAAATCTGTTTTTTACCTACCTGGAGGTTAATGTTTTGTCATGCCTGAAGTCTATAGAAAATAGGTGGTTTAATTTAATAACTTCTGTTTAATAGCTTTCTGCTTAAGTATGTGCATTCGAGAAAGAACAGAAGTTTCCATTTTTGGACTAGAAGCTTGGGGTTTTATGTGCCTCACAGTGTATAGGGCTGCTATCCTCATTATATTGCTGAAGTCTAATGAGTAAATAGAAATTATGAGTATAACCACTGTCACCTGAACCTAGACTAAAATTTATTAGGCAAAATAGAGATGGTTGCTGTGAATTTTGCTCATGTGCATCTGCAATTCTCAACTGCCTTTAACAAAGTCACAATAAGTTTCTTAATTTGCAGCAAGAGGGGAAAAAAAAAAAAAGCACAAAACTATTATGAAGGCAAGAGAGGAACTCCAAGCAATCAAGCAAGTTAAGAATGAAAGGTGTTTAAAAATTACATATAGACTCTTTGTCGTCAGAATAAATGTCAGGACAAAGCTTAGTATAAAATTAGAAAAGAAGGCAGAATATTAACTCTTAGATAATAATAGCATGACTATAAAATTTGTATGCTAAAAACTATATCGAGGAAACCTGTGTTCATAGAGTTGTTCATGTACTTTAATGGTGTTCTTGGTATTTAACTGCAGCCCTCTCTAACCTTCATTTAYATCTCACTTTACCATCAGTTTAGTAAGACAATATTTTTAAGGGGGGAAAAAGAATGAGGAAAAAAACCCACCACTCTTAAATTTTAAAACAGGTTATGTACCTCTTTAAATACTTCTGGTAAAAGCAAGAAGATTCATTTTGACCAGTATGGGATGTTGGCTTARGTAGATGAAAGCTGTTAAATGACAAATTTAAATGGTCTCATTTTCTAAACCATATTGCTCTTATAAAACTTACCTTGTTTTTCAAAACTGCCTAGGGAGAACATTAACGGCATCTTTTTTTCCATTTCAAGCTATCGTTACCTGGTTTATGTCTCTTCTTAGGGTAAAGTAAATTAAAAAATATCTTGTTTAGCTATAAGATAAAGAACATGCTCTCCATTGAGTACTTTACAAACCTCTATTCTGGCTCCCCCAGTTTGCCACTTGAAATACTCTTCAAAACAAATGTGCATGCTAGAAATAAGCTTCACTGGGAAGGCTAAGTGGTGTAAGTATTTTGAGGTAGAAAATAATGTCTTGGCAGGAATTCTTGAATGTTCATCTTGAATCTTCATCTGAATCTCCCTCTTGGCAGTAATACCTTACTTAATAAATCTTACTCCTTTAAATACACTTTTTTTTTCCTCCCTACAATGCAAAGAATTTGTCTCAACCATCAAGCGTTCTGACATGTTCGAGTTCTCTRACGTGCCCTGTGCAGACAAGCAACCCATCCAAGTCAGCTTCTCACCCCACCAGCTAAATCTGGACGATAATTGAACCCTTACCTGTTGTGCATTAGCAGTGTCTGCTGGTTGAGCCTGGGGATCAGGGACATATAGAAATGGAACTATTTAGAGTAAAACGGTTTCAGAAAGACACATACCTTACTATGTTACAAACACATAGAGGAGGGAAAGCCTAAGCATCTACCACCCACACAATTACAATAACCAACAGTAAAAACTAATTGCTTCTCCTGTAACTGATTTATTTTGTACAGTTGCAAACTATAAGATCATTGACAGCTCAGAAAATATTTTTTGATTACTTCATTTAATTTGGGCTACTTCATATAACCCAAGCCAAGGTTTTCCTGCATGTTACACATTTCAACTCATTAAACTGAACAAAAAAGTAAATATTGCCATTGTAATGAATACCAAAAGTTATCCATTCATGTTATGTACTTCTAAAAACCTGATCAGTATTGTAACAATTCTGATGKACGTGGTGATTCCAGTGCCAGTTCTACTTTAGTCGACTTAGCAAGGAAAAATTTAAAAAAAACAACCCCAAACAGATTTAGCAACAGTTTAAGCTTTAAAGGATATGAGAGGAGCTGTATTTACACTACCACTCAATTTACAAGACAGCATCTTAGGCCAAAGAGAGAGAACACCCTTGTGGGATTAAGGGATTTTTCCATGCAATCAACTTAGGTTCTATACGGCAACAAAAATTCTAAGATATATTTTTAGAGTTATTTGTAAGATTTACCAGGTCTCCGTCAGTAAACCACAGGGCACATTCATTCCATCTGTGCTGTAAAAAGTAAATAGATAGTTGGATTGCTATTCACGAAAGCACCTTTCACTCTTTATTGAGAAGTAGCAGAATCCTCATCACCCCCAGAAAGGTGCATGAAAAGATCTCCCAGTTCTGTTACTTCATCATCTGCACTGGACACAGTCCTACTTTCTCTGTCTTCAATAAAGTCCCAGAGGCGAACAGAATTGAAGAACTGCAATAGAAGAAAGACKGATTTAGCATGAACCAGTGCCTATCCCCATTTAAACAAAATACTTTGCTGTATTATTGTTTCATTAAAAAAAAAAGTCATGTCCAGAGTTAAATACTAGTGCAAACCAAGCCTTATAGTTTTACTAACACCCTCCACCCTACTTGCAATTAAGTTCAAATTCTCAATTACTCTGTTTAATGCTACAATATAAATAATAGTTTAGGTCAAACTAACTAATACTAATGAGCTATATTTAACTATTTTTAGTATTAAGCCAGTCTTGATCATTTGGAACAGTGGCCAAGCAATAGCAAATAACTGAAACGGCTTTAAYCATTTTAGCTGCTCACAGATTGCTGGCAACAGTTAAATAAGATCAGTTTTTAATACTACAGGTGAAAGCTCTAACTGTGGAACCCCTTTGGAAAAAATTTTGCAACGAGAAGGGCTGTTTCAAAACCAAAAACCAAACCAGCATTTTCTTTTCTACTAAAGGTAACTTTCATTTAGTTACCTAACAAAGAAAAAAAAATTTCTTTGACTTCTTCCATGTTTCAAACAAAGCACAGCCTTAGTGAAATAACACTTCATATTCTAAGATGGTTTTTAATTACACTTGATGCGAGTATTCCCTCACCCGCACGGTCCCCTCCGAGCTGAGCTGTTTCCTTGGCTTTTCAGGTTCCGCTCGTCTCCCATCCGGATAAGCATGAAGGTAGAGACACTTTCCTCCAAATGGGCAAGTTCCCTTTCCTTGTTCAAAGTACTTGCACGCTTTTTTCCTGATTTGATGAGGATAGAGAGTTATGCCTTCAGGTAGCAAGAAAGCAAATACAGTTCACTCRCCCTAGCTGCTTATCTTGTCCTCACTTAGTGCTGCAGGATGCTGCTCCTGTAACATCAAGAGTAGTTTTGCACTGCTCTTCTCTAACGGCAGTCAAAATAAATGGTAACAGTAATTAAAAGTGAACAAGGGACTACACAAGCAGCATCTAATGTCTAAAAACTTAAGTGATAAGTGATGGATGCCACCTATGCTGCATGGAGACATATTTTCATCATAAGGAACAAGTCTCTTGCTAATTTTCTAGCATTCCTTCCCCATAGTTCTGGCTATAGACACAGTGCATTATTGTACTTAGGCCAAAAAGAGTGCACAAGCACTGAAGCACTTTATTTATCCAAATTCCCTCTTTTATCTAAAAGTATGACAAAGTCCAAAATCCAAATAGTAACACTACTTGTCATTCTAACAAAGCAAATCAAAACAAGGCTACCTTATTTAGCATATAGACGTTTACAGATTCACAGATTCACAGAATATTTAAGGTTGGAAGGGACCTCTAMAGATCATCTAGTCCAACCTTCCTGCTCAAGCAGGCACACCTAGAGCATGTGGCACAGGGTGGCATCCAGGCGGGTTTTGAAGACCTCCAGAGAAGGAGACTCCACAACCTCCCTGGGCAGCCTGTTCCACTGCTCTGTCACCCTAACAGKAAAGAAGTTCCTCCTCACCTGGAGACAGAACTTCTTATGCTTCAGCTTGTGGCCATTACCCCTCGTCCTATTGCTGGCCACCAGTGAGAACAGCTTGTCCCCTTCCTCCCTGCATTCTCCCTTCCTGAACTTATACATATTAATCATATCCCCTCTGAGCTGTCTCTTCTCCAGAGAAAACAGGCCCAGTTTAGAAACTGCTAAACTTTGAACCCAGAACTCATTACCTTCACAATTCTTAGTAATTTACAACAACACAGGAGGGGTGAGATATTAGAAATAAACAGTATCCAAAGGTCCTTAGAGTGAGACTATTCAAACGTTATTCCTCCATATAAGATAAAACCACACTGAATTAACACTTCCTTTGCAGTAATGCTTTCAGCATTTTTTTCTGCTAAGTTAAAATATGACTTTAGAAAGTTCAAGTTTTCCAAGAAGCATAAACACTACTGACAACAGCTAAGCACAGATCTGAGCTATGATTATTTGCTCCATAAGAGGTCCTCTCCAAAGAGCAAGTTTAAAGGGTCACTTCACATCAAAGAATAAAGCCACACAACTTTTTGAAAAATAGTCATGATAGGCTCAGCTGAAGCACCAAACAACAAAAATCCTACTTGCTTATCATTAAAAGGAGTGGGCAATAAGAAAAGTAATGCTATCTTACTGCCTTGTGAGCTAGCGAACCCTTACATATTCCAGGCAAGCAGAGATGTGCAAAGCCCCATTAAACCTATCCCTTAGCAGAACTTTCCAATGCTCCAATAAGCAGACAGATCTTTATTAGACAATAAAGGAAATTAATTCATGCAATACTTTTTTTTTCCAGTTCCAGCAGAAATTACCAAGTATTTTCCTGAGGTATTATCCTATATTTCTAAGAGACTAGCATTAAAAAAAATATTTTTCCCTCCATATTTGCTTCTCTTACTTACAGAAGGGCCTAGTATTCCAGACAGCAGAAAACATGTAAATCCAACTTCAGCAAGTGGACTGAAATAGCCTCAACATTTCAGACCAYGACAGATTAGAATAACTTCTCATCTACAAATCTACAATTACGACAGACCTTTCACAGAACTTTGCAGAGCAACCGCAAGTATTTAATAAAAAAGAAAAAGGCAGGGTGCCTCCACCAGAGATTTAGAGTTCTGTAGAATGGTTTATAATTGTGCAAAGAACTTTTAAAAATACATGCTTTTTGACTGATCAAGTGTTGGAATATCTTAAGGACAATATAAACTGTACTTGTAGTTAATGAACTTACCCCATTCCCTGCTTAAATGCTTCAATCAGCTTGTTCTTCTTCTCCTGGTCTTCCACCCAGTATGCACTAGGAATGACAAACTCCGAGATCACGCGGCACTCTGGACAAGACCTAAATGTAGCGAGACAAACAGGCAAAAAACTCTGTTACTCCTGACAGGAATCAAATGAGTCACAGGCCTCATTTATTATGAAGGTTGCGACAAAAAAACTSTGTTTTGGTAAAGGATTGAAAATATTTTCAACCTTGGTGTCAGGGTATCTGTAACTAAAGTATTTTTTTAAGAGGTATGACAGGAAGCTGTCCTAACTGGACACTTGGACCCAGGATTTTTTTTTTTCCTTTGAGTTCAGATCTTACTAACATCTGATGCTTACAGCCACAGAGTCCTTCACGACCAGATTCTGTGTCCAGATTATTTCTGGACATAATCTGTGTCCAGATTATTTCTGGACACAGATTATTTCTGGACACAGAGCACACAGGTGAGTCCATCTCACAGGCCACAGAAAGAACAGTCTGGTTAACCTGAACTTACTTGATGATGGGATTCTCGAACTGCTTGGCACACCGCCATTGCCGGATGCAGGACAAACAGTAGGTATGATTGCAATTGGAAAGAATCCCAAACCTCCTCTCGGAGGCTGACGGTTTTTCATACACCACTTCCATGCATATGCTGCACACTTTGTCCTGACTCGCCTGAAAGGCAAAGGCCTTCTCCATCTCGTGCTCAAACGTCGCCATACACATCTGCCATGGAGACAGGTAACTGGTTATTACGCCCCACATACCAGTCTAAGCCTTGCAAAACAGTGACTATTGAAAGGAACRTCCTAAAGGAGAAACAACGAACACCAAGAACATCATTTCATTTCGACTTTACCATCTCGTGAGCCTTCCTCTGTTCTTGGTCGAAGGGGTGAAGCACTTGCAAGCCGCAGATCTCACAGACATCTCCGTGGAGGTAGAGGCAGCGCTCGCCGAAGTGGCAGGCGCCTGCGGCAGCGTACGGGCACAGCTGCTCGCCGTCCACGCACGAGCCCCCGCCTGACGGATCTTCCAGCCCGCTGCAAATAGCTTCCAAGTACGAATGGGGCTTCACTTCCACACTCTCGTTTTTGTCACTGCAACATACCAAATCGCTTGTGGCACTGGGTTTCTGCTTTTCTTCATTYGAACCACACAGATCTTAAGAAACAGAAACATAATATGAACCATTCAAGGCACTGCATAAAAGTTACACATAAAGCTCCATATGCTTTCTTTTTAGTGATGGCCAGTTTGGAAAAAAAAAAAATTCCCTAGAGGAAATCTTCACATCTTTTCGCCCCTTTCACTCACAAACCACAAAAACTATTACAATCAAACTTGCCACTGCAAAATCTGATTTTAAGCTTCTTGCAGCWTGTTCTATTGTTTAAACGAGAACAAAAATCCTCCAAATCCACAGAAAGGCAACCAGCACATTAAGCAGGCAAGAGAAGGGGGTGGGAAGCGTGCAGACCTACTTGCTGCAGGAAGGCTGGCTCCCTTGCCCTGAGACACCAGGCACAGAGCGAGGTCTCTGTACTAGTGCTCCCGAATGCAAGTTAGTCCCCAACACAACAACACACAGACAACAAGCAGCTAAGTTCTCCCCAGCTCAAATGCCTTTGTGTTGAGAAAAATATGCAAAAAATAACTCTGAGAGGTAAGGAATCCTGAAGAAGAAAAAATCTGTTGGGGAAGATGAGGTTAAAAACGAGCTAGTTAAAACTGATGTGATTAAAAGGTATTGGCCAAAAGGTATTGGCCGGCATGAGTCTTTATACAGAAGAGGCCTCAGGAAGCCAGAAACACCCTGATCCCCTCTCTGGCCGTCAGGGCATTAACATTAATTAGAGGTTAATGACTCTCTAATGACCCTTGGGTCTAATGACCCAAGGCTGGGAGACTGGAAGAGCAGCACTCACTTCTGTCCCGCAGCACCAGGGTCTTCTTCTCGCGCCGGGTGGTCTCACGCACTTTGCTCCTGATGACGGGGGCGCCGGGCTGGGCGCCGGGCTGCGCGCGGGGGCCGTGAGGGGCTGCGGGCGGGCGAGGCGGCRCCGGCCCCGCCGCAGGCAGCCGCGTGTGGTCGTACCTGCCGYGGRGAGAGGCAGAGCGGGCGCTGCAAAGACGGAACCGGCRGCGGGGAAGCAGAGAGCTCCCCCGGTAACACCCCTGCCTTTATAACATTAACCTGAAGAGCCCTCTTTAAGGAACGGCTGCTTTGACAAGAAGTTGACTCAATAGCTCAGGCCCTTACAAAGCCAAGCCACAAGGCTGCTGGGTCTCCCTGAGGCATGTAAGCAAACGGATGCCTCCGAACGCTCACTGGTATTTTTCTCCCCAGAGACAGGTTGCATGTCCAGGAGAGCATTATTCATGGGAACGTTAAAGTAGATCCTCGTCATTCCCTCACACAAACAAACAGGTTTGCTGACGTTTCTCTAAGAAGCGACATCAAAGTGCTGTGTAGCCATGACTGACATTTTGTGAGTGCTCGCATTCCCCACACAAGCAGAGACACAAACTTTGTGCCCCCACAGAAGATGCAGTATTTGAACACAGGCTAGGAAAGGCCCCCAAGCATCCTGCAGAGCTCTGGAATTGTTCTCCAGCATCAGGACAGAAGTAATCAGTGCACAGGTGCCACTTTCCCGTAAAAATCCCTTGCTCCAACACAGAGCTGCAAGTCCTCCAACACGCCAGCAGACCCGGGGAGCCCGGCTGTGCTGTCCGTGCCACGAGCCGAGGGATGCCCCGCAGCACTGCCCACGGCCACCTGCCTCAGCAACACGCAAGGCAGACGATTCCATCAGGTGTTGCTTGCTACAAAGGTTCACAGTGCAGCTTCTGCTTCTAACATTTAACCATTCTTAAATGTTACAAAAAGCGTGTGTGAAAACACACTCGAAGCTGAAGTTTCATTTCCACAGCATAATTGATGAAGCTAAAATAGAGCCAAACAGTATTGCAACCATAAGCTGCTTTTGCAAATAAACAAGACACACACACAAAAAGGAGCTCATTATTTAACGCACCGTTTCCTGCCTTTTGGCAGTTGGAAGCCTCATCCTTCCCTAACTCGCATCCGCTGGGGCYCCCGGCCTCCGCCCGGTAAGGTTACTTACCTGCAGCGGCTGCCGTAGGCGCACTGGCCCTTCTGGTAGTACTTGCACACGGTGGAGGGCTTGCTGCTCGCCAGGTCGTGCGAGAAGAGGCACTTGCTGCCCTCCCGGCACACTCCCTGCACGAAGTACCTGCGGGCGCGGCGCGGTCACAGCGGCCCCGCGCCCCGGCCCGCCCTGCCGGCCGCGCGCACACGGACCAGCGGCACCGGCCCCCGCTCGCCAGGCCGGTTACCGCGGCGCGGGGCCCGGGGGCTCGGGCAGAGCGGCACTCGGGGCTCCCAGGATGGGGGCACAGCGGGGTAGCGGCGCGAGGCCGCAGGACGCGGCCCCGGAGGGGYGGGGAGGGGACGGCCATGCCCCGAAGGCGCCGAGGCCGCGCTCGGGCCCGTCGCGGCCGCGCTCACCTGCAGGTCACCTCCTTCGTGCTCATCTTGGCCCCCGCCCCGCCGGCGCCGCCGCCCGGCCGGCTCCCCGCGCCGTGCGCTCTTGGTTCCGCTTAGCCCCGGCAGAACGCGGCGCCGCCTCGCGCACTCCCCGCCCCCTCCGCGAGGCGGACGCTATTCCCCGCCGCACCGCGCCGCCGTAGGGAGGCGGGGGGGCCGGGCTAGAGCGCCGCCCAGCTGAACCGTAGGGGCGGGCGGCGGCGGGAGGCGGCGGCTGGGCCGGCCGGGCCGGGGGCGGGTGGAGCGGCCGGGGCAGGAGCTGAGCGGCGGCAAGATGGCGGCGGCGGCCATTGTGCGCTTGCAGCACTGCGGGCCCGACATCTTCTGCCGGCGCGTCCCGSAGCGCTGCCCCGCCTGCGGCCGCTCCCTGCGCGGCGCCGCGCTGCCCGCCGCCCCCGTGCGCCTCCCCAGCCCCTTCCGCCGCGGGCACGGCCAGCGCGGCGCCTTCCTGCTGCGGCCCGCGAGCGGCGCCTCCTTCCTCGGGTGCGCGGCCCGGGCGCGGGGCCGCCTCGAGCGGGGCCGCCGGCGCCACGGGCCGCGGCGCCGACCCTCGCTTTGTCTTGCAGGGGCTACGACGGGGCGGGCGATCTGCACGTGGGGATAAGCAGCAGCCGCGGTAACGGCCCGGGAGGTGGGGGCGGGCGGGCYCTGCGGGTCCTCGGGCCCCCGCGCGGAGGGTTCCGTGCCCGGAGTGGCCCATGGGGCTGGTCTCGCTCCCCGAGCCCTCCGCGGTGACCTCCCCGCGCAGGCTCCTGCAGCTCCTGCCAGGCCTCGATCGGGGGGCGGTTATTTAATACAGAGGTGGCCTTGTTGGGCAGTTAAAAAAGMAGCCTTCCTGTTCTTAAAGTTGTCCTCATTATTACCAAAAGGTATGTGACACTGCAGTGAACAAGGTGAACAGTTCCTTGAAGAAAAAGATGGGCATTACAAAAAAATCAGCAGCCTCATCCCCGAGAATAGCAGATAAAGCCATTTCTTTAGTGCTACCTCTTGCTCTTCCTTTTCAGGTATTGTATATAACTACGATGAAGAGGGTGTTCACAAAGATGAATCCGGATGGGAACAGTGTATTAGTGTCCCACTGGTACASCCAGATATGTTTGGGCTTCTTCACCAGTGGGATACACTCCTAGAGGAATTTTCTGCTGGAGAAAACTGGCTACCTCACAGGTAGGCCACTCAGAAGGTGTTAAGAAAGGCTACAAATCTAGAGAAATCCAGAAATGCAATTCTATAATTATTTGCTCTAGAATTCAACCGTGTTAGGTGGATTTGGATTTAAAGTGATTCTTGTTCAGAGTTTACCATCTAGATCATTTTCTCATTGTCAGAGATCACCTCTTCTAGCTACTTTGTAGCATTTTGTTTTGTATAAATACAGAAAAGCTTCCACATATATTCCAAGTGGGACATTCCATTCGTTTTCGGCTGTGCCTTAGGTTGATGCCTGTTGATGGTGTTACAAGTTACAAGGAGCCCAGCCAAAACTTGCTGCCACATCCCAAAGCCTGCTGGTGACAAAGCAGCTTGTGCTTCAACAAAGCATCAGCTTTTGAACTGGCCCTTACTTAAGAGTATTTGTTAAAAAAAAMCCCCACAAGTCTGTGAAGTGTTAATTGAAGTAGAAAGTTAGGACCCACTGCCGTGCTTTGCAGACTAAACGTGGAGCAGAAGCGAACCCAACCTTTTTTGCAGTGCAATTTCTAGGGGCTTTCCACTATACAGAGATGATGGTCTCAAAGTTACCCAGATGTTTTGCTTTAATATATTATTTTGGTGAAGTAAGCACAGTAAGCACTCAACAGGCTAGAAAAAGCTTTGAAGAGAACAACTCCCTTACCTGGAGCCAGACTTTGATAGCAGGTCTCCAGATTTTGCAAAAACATTCTATAAATTCTCCAGGCTGACATGCAGGCCTTGCACAAAATTTCCTGAATCAACATAGACCATGGAGGCACTGACAAAATGAAGCAGAGAAGGCCTTGGAAGAATAAGGGGAAAATGACACAGGATGAGGCAATTACAGAAGCATTGTGAGGAGCAGGCAAAGAGCAGAGCAGTGTGACCAGGTCTGTATCAAATGCAGTTATACAGGAGCAATGGAAAGAGCAATGTGCAGTGGGGGGGAACAGTATAAATTACTGAAGCTGTTAGTGACTCAAATGAAATAGATTTCCGTGTGTGTAAAGCCAGAGAAGCAGAAAGAGTCACAGTTTCCAGCATCCTTGGCTGGAAATTACAACCTGCTCTATATAGAGCATATTTAAGCACCATCATTAAAGGCAAGTAATGATGGTTGTTGTAGAACAAGTACTCTTTTATGTTGCTCAGTAAAATTTGCACACAAAGTATTTACAAGCATTAGTGCTAACACTTATTAATGAGATATTTCTCTTAGGTATGAAGAACATGAGCACAATTGCTACACATATGCACTGGCATTTATTAACAGTGTGCTGACTGCACAAGGGAAGCAGCCCATGAGCAAAAGTGAATTCACAGAGAAATTTGTGATCCCACAGACAAAGAGAGCTTCCAAATACATTACTCTGCACCGGGAGTTAATGGCTAAGGAGTTCTATATTGTTCACCATCCTGAACAAGAAAAACAGTGCTGARAGCAAGCTGCTACATTAAAACAGCTACAAAAGGAAAAGGAAGTCTTAGCATCCAACTGTCATTGTTTAAGATACCGAATCCAGTTATTTCATTTAAAAATGCAATTTATTACACATACATAGACCTACCTCTTAGGAAAGAGTCATGGTGTTTGCTGCTAATGAGACTAAATCTGTGTATGTGAATGAAATGACCTGGTATTTGCACACTACTGAAAAATCTCTATGGAAACTGTTCATATGATAAAATATTTCTATATTTTAACTTAAATTCACTATACAAGGTTTTCTATCAAGATATCTAGCACTAGATATCTTGACAGATACTGGAAATTGTAATTGCTGTGTAATTAAGGTCTCTAACAGATGAGCTGTGAAATTTCAACTGTAGTAAACCAAAATGTTATTTTCCCCAACTGTCCAAACTTATTTTCCAAACTGAAATTTATTTGTTATTTTCCAAACTGAGTTGTTTTTGAGTGGGTATTAAAAAGGGCATTTGTGCCTGCCTGCTGCTGAAGTCCAAAGTTGATGACTTTCTGCACATTCACCACATGCAAAGCTGCTTTCATTACTAATAAGTATAATAAAAAGAAATCCAGCCTCTTTGCCAAAAAGATTTTATATTTTTTCYTTGTATATATTGCACCTTTATTCCTCAAACCAAGATAGATCCTTAGTATTAGAAAATAATCATTTGATGTGGCACCTGTAATGAAGAGCATGCTCTTCAGGATTTCAGTTCTGAAATAAAACATTAGGACTTTTTAAAGCCTTTTAATTTGTTTTTATTTAAAAAAAATCTCTACAGGATTTTTACCTATTATACATTATTGCTGCACACTATACAGAAGCATACAATTAAGACAAAATTCTGTTTGTTCATAATTTTGTACAATTTCACTTAATTGGGGTAATTGGGAATTGGTTTAAGAGCAGAGCTTAGGTTTCAGCAATGTACACTGAATTGGGTCACAAGAGTTTTAACTTTTCTCCCTTCATATGCATTACTACAATTCACTTAYGTTTTTCAATACAGCATTCTGTCCAGTAAACAGCATATACCTTGATTTAATAGCATTTATGCACATCTGTTGGGATATTCTAATAGAAACTGTTCTGAGGCAGTAGTTCCTCACAATGTTTTAAACAGATTAAATTCTTTCCCCAGAGATTCAGTTAGGAATCTTCTTGCTCACAGCGCTCACGAGAAGAAACCCACCGACTTACAATCAGTTCCTGAAATACAAAAGGGTGGTTATTATGGAAGCTGAGGCAGGGGGAAGTTACAATCACAGAGCAGTGATTAAACCTCTAGCAGACTGACGTATGTTACCTGACCACTGAGAAATTTCAGGAGATTATTATCTAATTTTTCAGGAGATTGTTATATTTCCCTGAAGTATACTGGTCTCTTACACACTCTTCCCTCTTCATTCTTAAACATCCATTAACCTCAGAGTCTCCATATTTCTCCCTGTTTTTCCATGTAAATGCTTATATTCACAGTAAGAGCATCTTAATCTAAATCTGAAGATATTAGTCTTCAAAAGGCCTAGGAGGAATTTTTGATGTCTTGGGACACAAAGGAATCTAGGATGGTCTTTTACTGCAGTTATATGTGCAAAAATGAAAGCATGTTAGACAGCAAGCAACAATCAAAGGGYGAACAGTACAGTATGTAGCTAACTCTTGAGCTGTCCAAAGCACAGCTCGATATACAAAGAAGAGAAATAGTTACTCACCTGAACCTTAATTCTTTTCATACATTCTGGTGTAGACATCTCTTTCTCAGTCATATCAGATGGTCTAATCAAATAACATAACATAAGTTCCTGTTGGTAAATGGAGAACATATTCACTGACAGACAAATCCTGAGTTTCAGCTGATTATTTCCACACAACTTTATATTAACCAGAAAGGCAGATACTAATTTTTCTATAGGATGGCACCTGTAAGCCATGGTGGAAGAGATCTGTGAATAAGTGTTTTCTTTATCAAATGCATAAAACACTGTTGTGAGAAGCTAGAATGGTAACAAAACACCTGAGTGGCATGACTATGGGAAGAGTATCATTACATATGAGGATCAAACATAAAGGAAACCATCTGGAACTACTCAAATCTAGATTCAAAAGCAAATCTGGAGAGATTGGGAGAGGTTTAAACATAAAAGTGATAAACAAAAAAGTATCTTTCAGGTCTTTCTACTGTTACTCTCCTCACATCTTTAGAAGTTACAAGAGGAGAAATAACTTTAATATAAAGCCTCCAGAATTCATCTGGATATCTGCAAACAGAACTCATGTTCATCCATCAGCAACATGTTTTTCTGCAGACCAGAATCAGAGATTATTTTTCCCGTCTTACTCCAATTATGTTTTCTTTATATCTAAACTCTTAGACTAATCATTCAAGAACTATTTCAGAACTAGTATCTTGCACTGTTACCTTAGAAGCATTAACAGTTGTTCGGTTCAAGCCAGACAAGGACTTCCAGCTGAGTGATCTTCGAAGAGAGCCTTCAAAATTATCATCAACTAATTCAGCAATGACAGAGTAACTGGAAAACAAAGCAGATAAGACAGCTCACAGAAAGGAAACTATTGTTTTAGGAAGAATATGCAACTTAAGAATTGGAGGCTAAAAATCTGTGATGATTCTGGTTGTCACAGTCAGATAATAAACCAGCAGAAGGTAGAGCAAGTTAYGAAAACTAACCAGAAAAATAGGGAAGAGACTAGAACCCATGAAGGCACTAGCTGGTACTTTTCCTCTCCACCCTTCTGACATTTGTAGCATTCTCATAAATGCCAATCTGACATTTATAACCAATCTACTAGATAAAGATAGTTATAATTCCCTAAAACATTTTTCTTCATATTTCTCCCTAAATCACAGAAATTGTCCATAACTTAAAAGTCAGTATCACTAAATCAGATTAGTTTTCTAGGTGCATTCTTCCCAAACATCAAATATACTTATTTCATCTGTTCTCATGTTTTAATATTATTTTGTAAATTAATTCATACAATTATGTTCTTTTGCATTTTGCTGAAAGAAATCCTGCAAACCCAACATGAATTCACAACACAGAAATACATCTGGCAAAGTATTCTGGGTGAATAATACGTGCTTAACCAGGGAAGACATTAAAAATTGTGTGACAGAATATTACTAATTTGAAACTAAGAAAGTAGCCAAAGATCATAAGCTTCAAACCTTGCATGATAGAAGGGAGGACCTTTTCGATACAGCACTGAAACRAGAGAGAAACACCTGAGTTAGTCCCATGGAAACTAGGCCCAAAAGTATTTTCAAAGTGTTTCATAAATGTAATTACACAAGTTAAAACTTCAACACTATTGAATTTTGCTCAGAATTAAGCTGCCCTAGCAAGTGGAGAGGGAGAAAAGAGAAAGGAAAAGGATGGAAGCAGCAGGGTGACTGAGGGCAGGGGACTGASGAGGTAGACGACAAAGATGAGGTGAAGTTACTGATGCTGTGGGAAAAGGATTTAGGGAGGAATTTTTCCTGCGATGCTTAGGCTTTAAATACTGTCTTCAAAATAGAAATTGAACCACCACTGGAGTCCAAGTGAAAGATCATAGTAAGTCACAGCTTCTTTTTGAGGCAGTTCACAGCAAATTTTCAGAGAGGCAGAGAGGCACAAGTACTTAAATACTGCCACAATTCCATCTATAGACACTTAAAATTTCTTTTCTAAGTTCAATGGCACACAAGACGCATTGCAGCTGGACTGTGGTAAATGACTTAAGCRGTTACAGATGTTGGTATCTACACACTACATCTATGTGCTTGCTATTCCAAGGACCATCATATTAGTGGTACGGGGAAGATGTGTGTACAAGAGGAAAATTTCAGAAAGTAATTTCATTGCAATCCCTTATCAATTATTAACCTTATGAAGCAAAATGGCAGGACTTCAAAATATCTTCTTAGCTGCTGCATGTGTGATGTTATATTCTGCTCATATACTAATTTTAGTGCTAACCTGTAGTCTAGCCAAAGATGCCTTTTGCCAACTGCAAGAGGCAAAGTTTGCTGCGATCATAAGGGAGCCTCACTGCAGAATTCATCTTTGGCAGTAGGGTCTTGCACCAACTGTTACACCTGAAATGGAGTCAGGTCAGTCAAGACCATTCCTTTTTTTCAAAAGGAACTACTCACAGAGATCAGTTCCATACTTCAGTCCGACTTTGGGCACCCATCCCTTACTGCGGAAGTAATGATATGCCATGTATGTAGTTTTAAAATTGGGCTTCACTTCGCTGAACATTTCCCATAGCTTCAAAATAGTTAAAGGCTCCTAGAAACCACACCAAAAAGCATTAGTCTGACAATATCACAGCATATATAAAACAGTTTGTTCCAAGCTGCATGTAGTAGAACATTAAAGTCATACTAAATATCACAATCCCACTGCAAAGAAAATAACCTTCAGGCAATACAATATGGAGTCCTTACCCTAGGAGACAGCAACTTGATCCTTTCATTCAGCTATTTAAATGTTTCAAAACTAATCCTGTAAGGCTCTTGTTTAAAGAGAGATCTAAYGAATCTTAATTAGACACACAGATTTCAATTGTTTTGTTATTACATGTAACAACAGCTTGATATATTTATGCTTAATATTCCCAAGGAATTTTCTTGTTTCAGTATGCGGAATGCTTTTTCCTATTTCTCACATACTTATTTCTTCCCTCAGCAAAACTAATAACTTCCATAGAATGACCCCAGTTGTCTGTACTTTTCTTGCTAAACATAAAATTTAAGACCATTATTATTAGCAGTAATTATATTTGTTTACAAGAACAATTTCCAAATTACTCTAGTATTCCCTCCYTCAAAAGTAACAATAAATGCTATTGCCACAGTCATTAATAATTTAAGACAAAACATTCAGACTAAACCAAAACAAACCTAAATGAACACTATTTCTTTCAAAACAAAATAAAAAATTAATGAAATCTCTTACCTCCCCATAATAAATAGTTAAGCATCCTAGAGCATACACCAGGAAAAACGCCTGGGAAGAAAAATAATAATMATTTTAATTAATATCTAGGCTATTTCTGTAATTTATGTTCCACACTGGAACAAAGGTTAAAACTCATGAACTGATTTTATACCAGAATCCTTATGCCAATACAAACAAGCRTCCTGAAGGCCTCCTTTGATATGTTTCTATATAACCTTTAAATTGCAACAAACAGAGGACTGCATGTGCTTAGGAATGCTCAAGCTGAAGGCACTGAATCATATGTAACMTAGTAAGTTTAGAATAACTGGAGCAGGCTTTATATAAAAAACATATTCCTGGTGTTTCAATACTCTCAGTACTTAACTCATATGATTGGCCTCTATTATTGGTGGAATTATTCAATCTGAAGTGTTTGAGACTGGATTCTATATATTTTTTTAAATCCTATCATGTAATAAATGGATTTTTAAAAATGAATTTAATCATCAAAACAATTCAAATATTTAGGACACACAAGAGAACCTTATCTTTAAGGAACAGTATTAAGTTATGTGGTAGCATATATTAATGCTTGCTTTACAGGTTAAAAGAAAATTAAATTGTATGGTATTTGAAACATACCTCTTCCAAGCTGAGTTGTAAATATTCAAAAATCTTGAATGGATTTCTTCTGCATACTAGTTTTTCCTTCTTGACAGACTACAAGAAAAAAAAAAGTACTATATTACTAAATCTTTAAACTGCAAAAAAATAATAAACCCTGGAAGCAGCAATGATAATATAAACTTTCTAAAAGAACGGGATACTCTTTAGCCTTACATTTGCTTGYTCACCAGCAGGGTTATCTTCAGGGCATAAACTACTTCCCTCTTCCTCTTGCACCAACACGTATTCTGCAGTACATTCTTTTGATGTGACCAACTCATAAGATTTTGGGTCAGTGCTTTCCTTCTCCTTGCATCCACAATGCACAAGAAAACCGTGCCTCTGGCAAGACACTTCAGCTCTCTCTTTTACGTCAACCGGTCCCTGTTCTTTAGAACCACACAAGGCCAAAGGATCATGAGCTGGATCTCCTTCCACACAGGCTTTCTTGCAGCCTTCCTTCTGATTACAACATTCATGACTTGGAGATACGTTTCCAGTGTCWGTAGAAGAATGTCTAGAAAGCTCTGCATTTTCTGTGCTTGGGCCCGTTTTGTTGGAACATGTGTCAGTTTCTTCAGCTCCATCATTTTTCATGCAAGGCAACTCAAGAGGCTTAGTGTAGTTTTCAAGAATTTTGCTAACTGAACAGTCATCAAATCCTTGCTCTTGCAAAATACTTTTAGCCCACTGGACATGATACTGGTACCTAGCAAACAAGTAAAGTAAGCAGAAAGTTCTAGGACATAACATCCTTTAACTAACATCTTAAATATAAGCATCTTAAAATAGTTAATCCTGCACAGCTCATAGAACAAATATTTACATTCAYCCCAAAGGCTGCTATGTAAAGCACAAGCATGCACAACGTAATTAAACTCCAGTCCTTTGGCCACAATGCACAGACTAAGCTGCTCAACATTAGATTCTGATGCCTTTTCTGGCTTTGTTTTGACCTTTCAAACTTCTGTGGCAACAAGCGCCAGTGTGGAATGTGTAGGAACCACAAATTGAGGGCTACCACTGAACAGGTTCAAAACCTAAGAGTTTTATCAGGCAAAATCTCCTTTTTCTTCCTGGAACCTTACAGAATGAATTCCCTAAGAAAAGATRGTTTGAAGCAAAGTTTGCATAATGAAAACTAAGCCTTTATATACCAAGGTTTCATAGTCTTATCTATTATACAGGTAACTAAGAACAGTATTTTTTTAATGCCTTCCAAACAGCAATGCTACAGCAAAAACATCTGTGTAAACATCTAACCAGAAATTATTTTCAGTCTTACCAAAATCCCAATATCTCTGAAGAATAACAATAAAAGTAGTTTAAGATATTAATCTTCATTSTGTCAAAAGTTACAGGTAGTTGAATGTATCTATCCTTATTGAAATATTGAAAATACAATATTCATTTCCCCAAATGAAATTTTAACACAGGTACTACAGACAACAAAATAAATAGCAGCGAGTCAACAACATCTATACAACCAACACACTGAAAATCAGTGAAATAAAACCCAGATTAAAATCACCTTCTTCCAAAAAATACAAAGATAACATAGAACTTACTTCTTTGATGCAATTATGGGCAAGTTTACGTTAGCACCTGTATAAAAAAATTGTTTTAATAATGTGTTTTTTTAAACACTGATATATTCTGTGGCATAATAAGTATCTTCAAAACTAGGTGCAATTTTGGTTTCCCCTCTAATCTCAGGAACACAGCAGAATTAGAAAAAGTACAGAACTAACAAAGAAGGAAGAGCTTATACAAGAGAGACAACTAAATCTGCTACTTTTCTCCAGCTTGTAAGAAGATAATTGCAGTGCAATACGCTAAAAATCCACTCTTGTCTACGGAGACTTAAAAAGTGTCATCAAGAAGATGGATAATGAACGACAGTCTTTCTATAGGTAGATTACAACTACGTAACAGGTAATTGCCTACTGATGGATTCAACATTTTCACATACTCTTGCCACATGATTTCATGGACATTAAAAAGTTCAGGATCAAAACAAGAAAAGATGGACTTCCTGGAAGAAAAGTCCAAAGCTGCTGCCTCGATTTACAAAGGTCCTAAACAGCAGATCATTGTAGGCTGGAGAATGCACTAAGGAGTTARCAATTATGCTTTCCTGTTCATGTATTTTTCCCTAGGCATCCTATTTTAACCTCTGAGGACAGACAGGCTTGGTTTGATTGAGTAGCTGACCTAATAGAGATTTTTTTTTATTCATAAACAAAATCATTAATAACTGAGGAAAAATGAAAAATACTATTAGAACAACGAGGGAAGTAGAAATAGGGACAATTTACCTTGCCACTTTGTAACCAGTAAGGGATCTGAAATGCTGTACGCCGGCCGACTTCTCGAAAGAATACCTTTTCCAAAATAGCCCTTCRAAGAAAAAAAACAAAATCTTTATTAAATCATCAAAACTTATTTATTTATTTCCTGGGCTAAGAATAAAATACTTATCATATTTGTTACAAATGTATATGTTTCATATTTATTTGAAAAGAGGAGGGAGATATTAGAGGCTAAAAGGGGAAGGGAAACAAAAAGGGAGAAGATTATAACACGTATTCTGTTCTGTTAAATGTTGAATACACCAGAAATATTGTGCAAATAGGGTACACCACCTTGCTATACAGCTGTTCAATATCCTCAGGGTTCCTCACAATAATATTGTTGTTAATAATTTCAGCCTGATATATTCTGAAATCTTTCCCATTTACTTCCACGGGAAAGGGAGATTCATACGTCTCAAAAACTCTTCTTTTCTTTCTTGGGGGCTGGAAAATAGCTTCTGCCATTTCCTAAAGTTTTCTTCAAAATAGGGGGAAAAAAGACACAGGTAACTGTCAAGATTTAAAGTTCATGCACTTTTAAGTGTTTCAACATTCTCTTCCTAATAGCAAATTACCAAAAAGCCTACAGAATATCCAAGCTTAATTGTGGAACTGCTACACCAGACAAACTCAACCAAATTACTTCCCACAATGTTACCTGCTACTCTTTTTCCCCTGCRCTGCAGGGCCTTGGGAGCACCAGCGATGTACCATCCTCAGACAGGACTAAAGTTACGATCGGGAGTAAGTGAACACAGAATGAACATAAACAGAAACCACAGCACCATAGTATGAACCGTAAATCGTTTTGAGAAACTTCATTAATAAGAAGAATATTAAGAAACAGCAGTAGCAGCTTGACAGTTGTTCCCTCCTTCAGGAGGGAACCCTCTGGCGATGGAGGCCGCACAGCGGTGACCAGCAGAGGGAGGAAAAGCCCGCTCGGCCTTAAACTCGGCTCCCGCCTCACGCGGGGCCGCCCAGCTCGGCGACAGCAACTCGGGGCCGCCCACCCCGCTCGCCGGGCCCAGCGCGACACCGCCCGCCCCCACAGCCCGCCCGGAGCCGGCGGCCGCGCCCGGGGCGCGGTGCGGAGCGGCCGGGTGGGTTGCGGGCCCCGCCGCCCGCCATCACGGCGCCCGCCTTCCCGCCCGTCGCCATAGCGACCGCCGCCCGCTGCACGCACCCGCCGCCGCGCCAGGAGGCCGCGCAAAGCGAGCGCGCGTGCGCACGGCGCGAGCCCGCCGCTTCTGGCCCCGCCCTCTCAGCGACCGTTGGCTGTGGAGGGAAGGGTGGCTGAGGGGTTGCTTCATGGCGCGGAGGCGCCTTCTCCCTGAGGGAGAGGCCGGCAGCGCTTGGCAGCGGTGTCCGACCGTGGCGCAGCGCGCTGTTCTTCCCGGGGTGGCCGAGCAGGGCAGGCAGAAAGGGGGCTCCGTGCGTGCGGAGAGGGAGCCTCACGTCCACAGGCCTGCGTCCTGCCCATCCTCAGGCCCAAAGTGGAGAGCTCGGGCGGGGGGGGGCAAAAACAGGTTCCCTGTAGGAAAGTGAGAGCCTGGATCCTGTGGAGACCCTCCCACAATCTTGCACCCTGCAACTCTCCCTAGCCGCTGCCAATCTCCATGCAGCAGAAAGGGCTGCATACCACAAAGCATCCAGTGCTGGCAATTTAAAAGCAATAAAAGTAAGAGAAAATGGAATTTTTTTTATGGAACACCCATCCTGAAATGAATGATGAGCTTCATAATGAGGGACATTTGAGATACATGGGTGGGTGAAATTTTATAGCTGTGGGAGGTGAGGGGAAGATAGCATTTTCAGCTTGAAGCAATTGTTTTTGGCAGGCTAACAAGCCCTTGACATTGCAGTGACTCATTCAACTGCTTGGGATAATGCAATACTGCTTACACAACTTGTTAAGAGAGATACTGTGATTGTACAGCTTACTGCCAGAGCTGAATTCAGAGGGGAAAAAAAGGGTACTGTAATAATAATTACAAAAAGAAGAAGAAAAAAATGGATCTTACCTGAGTAATAAGGGCATTCTCACTAGCCTGTGAGCAACAGACATCCCCTTTTCAGTTCCGTTTTAATAAATGCTGAGCTTGTTTCCAGTTTAGGTCTTTTTCACCAAATTCATAATAATAATTGCAACTGCAATACAGGAACCTTTTTCTTATCTTGAGGTTGTATTGTTAGGATCCACTATAAAAACAAAGAGGATGATGAAATTTCAGTTCCAGGAAGACAAACTAGCCCAATTTGCATTTYACTTCAGCTAGCTAGTGACTAATTCTCTGGTGTATTTTAATCTCAAAAGACCCCCTTTCCATGCTCCTTGGGTTTTAGACTCTCAGAGAATAAAATGTACTCATGCAAAAATAACATCACATTTCTGGAGTAATCAAAAAATCTGGGCAGTGCAGAGAAATGGTAGTAAATTTTGCTTACTACAAGTGCCTAGGTCATCCGAGTTCAAAATGTAGAATTATTTTTCTCATTTAAAAATGGAATTTATCTCATAGAATTCTCACGTCTTTGTTTCAAAATGAAATAGAAAAATCTAGTAACACAGTGACTGAAAAGGAGAAGTTCAAACTTCTACATTTTCCATGTGAAACAAACATATTTTTTCAATGCACTCCTGGTAGCTTAGATTAAATTGGCTTTTTTTTTTTTTTTTTTTTTAATTTTGACTAGTTAGCAATAGATCAATGAAGCCACTTACAAAAAACTTTAAAAATACATCACTCTTATAAGGTAATGAGTTTGTGTTATGTGCATTTTACAGAATTGTGAGGCTGCAGAAGAGAAACAATAATTACAAGATCACAAAGGAAATTGTCAACAAAACCTGATAATAAGAACTTGGCATTCTTACAGTTATGTCCTAAAGAGGTCTATTTCACATACTGTCTGGTGAGTGTAAATTTGAACATTAATTAATTTACCCAATGTTGAGGCTCAAGCAGAGATTCTCTTCTGTTCTTGTCCCCAAAGTATACTGCAATGCTCTGGTAACCTAAGGTTAATTCTTAAAGCTCTGCCATTGAAATATCTGCAAGTTAAAGCRTTCTGGGTAACAACATGAAAATAAGCAAATATCAAAGATACCCCTTTATTTCAAAATTCCATAAAAGTATGCTAAATAAAGTTGCTTTTAAATGAAAGTGGAGTTTATCTAGGATTGATATGTCTATTTTCTTGTTGTGCGGGCCTATTGCAATGAGATGTACATTGCAACAAGAAGTAGACACAACATAAAAAAGCTATAGGTCAGTTGCCTTCCTCCACGTCTCATTATCTGCCTACAGCCTTGAGATGGAAGCCACAGCATGCCATGTCCAGTCAATTGAATCACACTTACGCTTCTTCAAACAAAAAAAGCAGACTGCATATCTGCTCCTATTTATTTTTTGCTTATAAGTCCAGATTGTTTTTCAAGCAGAAATGTTGCTATCTGAAGGTCAAGTTAAGTCACAGCAATGTCTTTTTTTTGTTAATATATCAATAATTATACAGACATCCTTACAAATATCTAGATTTTTCTTTTATGATGAGACAGCAGAGGACTAGCTAGCAGCTAGATGACCAGGCAGTTGCTCTGCCCTCAGGGTGCTAGGGAATCACAAATTGGACCTCAGTTTTCAGGGCTATACTGTTGTGAAAAAAATGCATCATACTGGAATTTATATACAAGAGTGTATAAGACACATGAAGCAACTCATTAGTTCCATACATCATTGGTAGCACTTCAAATGAAGTAACATGTTCAGTTAWAAGAGCAGTTAAGATAAATGTAGAACAATTGGAAATAAGAGAATGACAAGAGCTTACTTGATTTCTCTGCAGTGCAGCAGAAAATGCAATACTCTATACTGCCTTCCCTGCAGCTTTTGTTAAATCATCTTTCGGATTTCCAGTTCTGTGTAAGTTTTACTTCTCTTTGTCTTTGAGAATACACTGTTTCATGTTGTGTGTGCCTTATCATTGCTTCTAATGCAAAGAATGCTCTCTTGCTTACCATTTCCTGATGCTCAGATAGTTTTACTGTTGATTTGAGTTAATCTATTGAATCATTAAGGTCTAAACCAATATCAGGTTTCTGAAAGACTGATATGTCTCTCTAAATCATGATGAGAGCCTTGATGAGAGCCTTGTTGTAGATCTTTAGTTCTAAAAATATAGTCTTAAATTTTAATACAGTTGTCCTTTTTGTGTCATTTYCAGTTGTACATTGCCTGACTCCCATGGTCTTGTTATTCACATTATCACACTCCATTTCCCGTAAAATTGTGCCRTTTTTGGGACACTGGAGACCAGTTCATACATAGTAGGCCCTTAGTACTAACAATATGTCTTTTTGTTGTTTGTTTTGAAGAAGTTGCTATCTTCTGCTCTGTATTGCCATACATTTTTTTCAACCTCGTCTTTGTCAGCAGGTGAGTGCAACTGGAAAATAGTTAAGATGGAAGGAAATGCTGTCGATGTCATGCTTATTAAACTTTCTGTGACCACATATGTAGAAGGATCTTGATCTATGTGGTTTTGTGTTTGCAGTCATTATGTCAGTCCCTCTGTAGTTCATTGTGACCTTCCACAGTAAGTCATATCACAAGTACATCTGAAATCATACAGATGAAGTACATACTATTAATATGAGAGCTCATTTAATATTACATTAACCAATATTCAATATTAAGTAAAAGTTGGCAGCTAATACTATCTATTTTTTATGCTGTGAAGATTATACCTTTCATCACTTCATTTAGCTTAGAGGCCTGGAAAAATCTCGTGAATAGTGAAATTCTGGGCACTTGTATTTCACTGATATTAAAATGAAGTTACATATGCAGGCAAATTCTAAGGAGTTTGTTTATCAAAAGTGTTTGTTTGCTGGATTTTTGATGACTTCTATAAGGAATCTGGAAGTTAATTCCCAGGSTTATCTCAGGCAAAACATACGGGCAGGTACTCTGGAAGTACATATTTTACATTCTTAACCTTATTAAAAGAAACAGAAGTGGAAGTCTGTAAAACTATTTGCCTATGTAGCATTTTCTTGTGTCTTCTCAAGGAAGTTAGTCATAAAACTGTAAACAAATAACCTATTCTGGTAGTGTCTTTAGTTAATATTGGATTCCATACAAAAGAAATAAAAGTTTTGCACAGAATCCCATGGAACCAAAGTCATAATCTGTCTTTAAATTCCTTTTTCTTTCTGGTTTCCACAGAATATTACTTCAAAGTTTTCTTATCCCATGCTCAACTGTGGTCCCCAAGAGAAATGTTATGACACTTTCTTTAAGATAAAGTCCATTTCTTTCTCACAAGGTGATTTGAACAGTAGTTGGAGGATGGGCTGTAGTCATTTACATTAGCCAGTTCCAGCTTCCCCAGAATGACAGAAGTTCCCATGGAAATCTTGGTTGCATTAACTTTGACAGAGATATGGGACTGTTTTTGGAAACTTGAAAAAAAAACAGCTAGGGAATACTTTTCATTTTTATTAATATGTGGTATCTTCATTTTGTTTATTAAAGAAATAAATCAAGGTTAGTTTCTGCTTAGTTTCTGACGTTTTTCACAATGAGACCAAAAAAAGAGAAGTCTGACAAATATTGGCCAAGCATTAACCCAGTAAGAAATCTGATAATGTCAGAAATCCCGAAGTGGACAGCAGTAAAATGAACAGCATAAGAAAAAAGAACATTAAAAAATAATATGCAATTAGCATACTTCAGATATGGATAATGATTTTGCATTCTTGGAGATTAAACACACTTCGATGAGGAATTCTAATAAAACCATTTGATCGGACTGACATCCCATAACATTAGTGTATTGCTTGAGGGCTGTTTTTATCCTCATATCTATCTGTCAATTTATATTACAAACTATATGCATTTGA